TTTTCATCACCACAGATAAGTACATATTTTATACGAGAAAAATAAAGTCCAAAGTTTTGCAATGAAATATTGGACGCCTGAGCGTGATGCTCGTAGGTATGTGTCCTATCTTGAAATAATGAGATTTCAATCAAATTAAATAAACACACAGTTTTAAAGAGAATACACTCCACATAATTTCGTTTGTTATTCTAGAATAAGTTATCTAAATTTAGCAAAACAATTGCTACCAGCCCCTGATTTCAGTGTATTTATATCCAGTAATTTAAATAAATCATTAAAGACAACCATAAACAACACATTATTTTGAAACAGCAATTTGCATTGCGGTACGATTGGTATCGGTCGTAATTTAAAAGCTGTAATCACTTTAACCAATACAATAGTGCCTAATAAAACCTTAACAAATAATGATAAATCAAGTGCGTTCCAACCGTAATGTAAACCGCTCAAAGCCGATAACACGTAAATAAAAAGGCTTATCAATTACTGTACCTCCAATAAACAAATCGATTCCTCCAGATTCTTTGATTTTATTCTCGTATTCTATGCATTCCTTCACCAGATCAGGGGCGTTCCCATCGAGAATATGGGCATTTTTTGGGTCTATATCTATGTGCTTGAAGAAGCTATTCCACATATAGCAATGGTAGCTTTCTGGATGCTCTCTTGGCAGATTGACCTGGAAATTTGTGAGCGACCGGTCATTTTCTCTACATTACTGGCATTAATTCAATAGTTCGTACATATTCATCCATATTGAAGGTTTTAACAAATTTGAAAGAGACTCTTCCTGCTTTGTAGTATTCAATCAACTTCTGGTACATGCCATAGGGAGTACTGCCTGAAAAAGGATCACTGAGTGGATGAAAGATAAAACCCCGAATAAACTAGGAACAAGTACCTGTTGGTAGGCCCAATACAAAGTAGTTATCAGGGCCAGGGTTGAACTCGTTAATCTTCTTGAGGACATATCGAGCTGCCCATTCAGCTACAGTTTCCGAATTATCCAAAATAACCAGCCTCATCTTGCGAAGTAACTAAATAATCGTTCACTAGACCACTGCAGGTCAAAGACTACACGCTATTGCAGGCGCACTAAATTCAGCATTAAGCGACTAGGTACTTGCGATGTCGTTTTTCTGAACCCAAACCGGTTGTTTCATCAGTTTAATGACCCACATTCACACCAAAGGAGACAGCTATTAGTTCAACATGATAATCTGATAAGGTGAAATGTTACCACAAAGCGTATTGTCACAATTTTGTCAAGTGATTTGTTTTATCTAAATGATCTACTGATTGAAGTTCATGTTGATTTAGTACTAAGTTCTGGTGAAAATGAATTTGTTCACTTACATTAGCCAAATTCTGTAGGATTTTCCGACTCCCGTCTAAGATTTTGGCTTTCGGGCCTTTTATAAATATGAACGTTTATTATAGACGTAGGGAATTCAGCAGTTTTTATCGAATTTGAGGGTTTTGGGATATATAATAGGAAAATTATATTAATGTTGACCCAAATAAACGTGTTTTCTTTTGACAATTGTTGACAAATTAGTTTACATAACCGCAGATTATTCACTTGCGTCTACGTCCTTACACAATTTATCCCTGTGTAGCAGGCAATCGGTTATACAATAATGTGGAGAAAATTTGATGGAGAAAATTAACATTCACCCGTTAAACCGCACAATAAAAGAACAGCAAATCAACTCAATCGGTCCAAAATGAAAATAAAATAACGACTTAATGAAAAAACTGAAAAATAACTTTTCATCTTGGGCAAAGAATATAGCAACGAAACCCAAGGAGCCTTAGAGAAGAACAACTGATTAGTGTCAAATTTGTCGAATTTTGTAAGCAATTTATTTCCAATTTGTTTTGATTTAAAATGAAAAGCCCCATTTAAAAACCATACAACGGATAAGAAAATTGGAATTAAAGATCGACAGGCAATGTCACAGAGTGAGCTGGTTTAGAAGTAAAGAAACATATTCGAGTGACTGGAGAAAATTATACTTTATGGGGTTTTGGTTGAGAAAGGGGCTATGTGAAGACAGTGAGGAGCCCAGCTTGATGACCAGCTGTTTATAATGTGGGAAGAACAATCAATGGGGTCCCAAACTCTGGAAATCATCCGGCAAGGGGTTTGGGCTTCGGTGACGGGGGGCTGGTTTTACGACCCCAGCCAGAACCTTTTCTGCAACACTTTCCACTTGTATATTTATTTATTTTTGCTGTGTCTCCCATTTACTTGCCATGTGGTAAGTCATCAGTATGTCCTACATTACTGTGTCCAACAATAACAATTGACCTAGAATTGCTTACTTGGCCCCAATCATTAAACTGCTTGTATAACCAGAGTTTATTTTTTTGCAGTACTTTCCACCAGATAGGAGCATATGGTACGTGTACTGCTGCCTTATAGCATTAGCCCTAGGCGGGCTTAAGCTCGGTAACTATTTTCTACACTATGTCTATGATACAACCGAGTGTATAACAGAGACTGTGGATGAAACTGATCCAGACAACGCAAAAAGGCAATGATTGACTTGCTGTTTACATGACAGGGATGAATTCAAATTTGGTATCATTTGCAGGTCTGAAGAGGCAATAGAAATGCAGGATCTTTCTACAAAGAATAAAGGCGAAGAGGCTACAGGCTTGGCTACTTTAGTTTCGTTGTCTGAGAATAGGGCTCGCCCCAGCACTGATAGCCTGGAGTCATCTGAACAGCCTGAAGGAGCTGTTGGGGGCCCCAGAAATGTGTCCCGAATAGGTAGGCCGATTCTGCGTTTGTTTAGTTAGTTTATAAAGTGCGAATGATTTTTTGAATGATTTAATGAAGTTTATAAAGCGACTCTGTCTTTGTTACGAGTATGTAACTCGTTAACCTAATGAAGAAGCTGCCTATAGTTACGAATGTAAAATAATCTTCATCGCGTCACTAATAGGAAGTTTTGCATGCATGATTTGAAGTAAGTTATTTCTTCGAAACAACGGTACAATTTATCAGAAATAATGATATACAGGGTGTTGTTATATGTAAATTAAATAAATACATCGTCAGTTTTCAACAAATACATAAGCGAACTGTCATTATTTGTTTATGTAGATTCACCAACTGAAATTAGTCGCACATATGTGCAACACCCTGCCTAAAATCAATAGTTCTTTTGATAAAACCTGAAAAAATGCTCTGTTTCTTCTTTCGACACTGTCCACTGGCATTTCAAAATTGCTCACACATGATTATTGCTTCAGATTCATTCGAAGTGGAAGTTCACAGGAATAATTCCACTGCCAGCAGTGAGTCAAATGAGCCAAGACTAGATGAGCCAGTCACAATGCCCCCTATTCTAAATCGCGAGCGAAAGTTGCGTAAATCCAGACCTGCAAGACCGAAGACTGAAGCGCAAGTTTCTGTCGATGTTATTAACGAGAGGGACGTTTCAGGGCTTGCGCGACTGGAGCCTCAAGGTAAACTTCATGCAAAGTAATTTGAGATTGTTTGAAAAACTTGTGCCAGTTAAATAAATTAGTTTATCCAAGAGCCAAATGTGAGCTTAATTGTTTGCGTAGGAAGTGCAGAATCCCAAGAGAAAAGCAGTGAGTTGGTTTTGCAACAACGGCCTTCTTTGCATAGTGTTGATTCTGAGCAAGAATCCACCGCGATTAATGAAGAAAGCAGCGGTAGAAGACATTCCAACTTTACAAATAGCAGTCTGAACTATCTCCCTATTGCTATTCAGACCGACATTAAACCGACTGGTAGTTTAGAGCTCGGTAAGTTGCTTGGCACAGTTTCTATGGGCTGTGGACCGGAATTGTTTGATTCCTTCACAGGCTACATAGACAAGAACCCAAATCAAGCACTGAATTTCGAAGGCTTTTACTTCAAACCTAAGAACAGGGACGCCAGGCACTTTAGGTCGGCTGCTCTTGAAACCTGCAGTCCTCCTCCCACTATTCCTGCCAACACCAATAGCTTAGAGGTGATCGGATGTAAGAATAATAAAAATCCTCTTCCTCCTCCTAGCACCAGTTTAACGCGAAATCAGCACCTAAATTTGTGTCAATATTTTGGTAAGTTTCCCCCCATCTAATTCTAGGGCCAATTTAATAATCAACCGGGGCTTTTCTTAAGGTTCCGAGATAGTTTATCCAATAGCTGAGCAGTCTGATGAACATCAAACTTCGCATGGACCGGATACGGACATTGATTCGCTGGCTCATGGATCTGAATCGGAGTTCGAAGAAGTCAATCAAGGTAGCACGCATGGAAAGTGAATGTATCAATAAATTGATATTTTAAATTGGCCAGGGAGCCATTCGCCGCTCATTTACGAGAAGTTTGGAACCCAGAAAAAAGTGCCTTATGCGATCGCCGCCAAAACAACCGTAGAACACGAGGCCGCTTCCGCTAAAAATATTTGGACTGATCTTGAGCACTCGAATTCGAGTGTTACTGAAGAGTCGCCAGCTCAAGATGCTCAGACTTCGGCTGAGTGCGCGACCGACAACGACCTAAGTGACAAAAAACTCAGCGAGTGCTCGAATTTGTCGTGCTGTAGCGACGATTTTCAGGAGAGCATGAAACAGAAAATGGCCGAATTGACTTTGAGTGATTTTGGCGAAGAAGAAGGCGCAGTTGGGGGCGAAATCGAAGCTTTGCCCAAAAAAACCGGCATGACCAAACGAGAATCCACTGTTCATGGTGAGCTAGTTTCGCCCGTTTTCTGTACTTTAAAATATCTATTTTTTTTTCACTTTAGATTGTGGTTTGGACAGAGACCCAAGTGCGTCGAATTTGCAGTGCCAGCACACACCTGCACGAAGCATAGTAAGAAAAAAGAACGTAAAAAAATACAAGAGAAGAAAAAGCGACACAACAGCTCCCAGAAGCGGAAATAGCTCGTCCCTGGCTCACTTAGACTTGGATTGGCTATTTGAAGAGGATGCTGCCTCAGGAAGCAACCGATTAAGTCATCGAAAAGGTGCTCATTTCCATTTCTCCTAAAGTCTGCGTTGTAACTGGAACCAATGTTATCTTCCAGAACCTTTAAAAAAAGACAACGAATGGTCGAGTACCACCACAGTATCTTTGGAGCAGGACGTAAGCAAAGTGTTGCAGGACACTGTACCAGCCGTCCGGAGCTTAGGCGCTATCCCGAAAAAGCTATCTAGTCATCATCCAAGGGAAATCGAACGGAAAACTCCGAAAAGCGAGTCGGAGAAATGCAGAGCGTGTAGCAGGTAAGAACACCAAGCCGATGTGTATTTTTGCCTGCTCATTCTGGGCCATTTTTTTCAGATGCAAGTTTGATGCCGAGAAAGCAAAGTCATCAAAGGAAAACAAAGTCACTCAGACGGGCCTGATCAGAGACAGTCCTAGTTCCAGTTTCGAGGATATCGATGCTCCGTTGGATTTGCCTATTAAAAGGGCCACTGGAGGGGCAATTAAGAAAGGTGAGACATTTTTTTATTTAAATTTTCAATCGCAAAAGTGCTGGGCAAGAACGTGAAATGAATATTATGTGGAATCCAGCGCTGTAAAGATGTGGTTTCGTTGGTGCGACTGCGACTGTTGATGATTGCAATTACTTCTTTAAAATCGCAGTCACAATTACAATTTCGGGGAATGGCTTGCTGGCAAATTTCTTTCTTTCTGAGAATAGAAAGCCGCAGATAGGAAAAACCCCCCGATTATAAAGAACGTTGAAATCGATTTCTCTGTAAAATATCAAAAAGTGTTTGAGTGGAACAAGGTTGCGATTCACACACATTTTGCGTAAAAATTTATTTAATTTTAACCTTTTTCATATTTGCAGAGATTTCAAAACAACCACCAACTAAGAGTGAAGAGACTTCGTCCAGTGGCTCCAACAATGAACTGAGCACGCTTCTGCCTCCTGCTCCGCCTCTACTTTCAGCATTTCTCAATCCTAGAAGGGATTTGCTCACTGCGAGCTGGGTTTCCGGTAAGAATCCATCTAGTGTGCACTTTCCCAGGAACAGTAATCGATCTGAACATGTAGAAAACTCACCCAGATCCAGCCAACGGAATCGTTTGAGAAGAGCAAGAACCGGAGTGAAAAGATCGATTGTTGTAAAAAAAGAAAACGCAATTTCGAGTTCGTTATCGTCCGGACATGGTACTCATACGGCGAAGAATTTCAACGACACTACTGATGGAGCTGTTCATTGTTTTTTGGATGAACATGGCAATTGGATTACCTACACTTTTGATGAGAAAGGTGGGCACATCTAATTTATGGAGGATTGTTTAGGGGTTTTTGCTATAAAGTCCTATATGGTTAAAACTCCCAATCACATTTTAAATGAACAGAATCGTTTAGCTAGAAAACCATAAACCCTTGCAACTTTGTTCACTAAAATTTGTTTTTCTCAATAATTTTTTTATAATACTGACTACAAATTAGATGAAAATGCGGTTTAGGGTGTACAAGAGGGACAAATTCTTTTCACCTTATCTAAGCAGAAAAAAATAAAACAGTGATAGGCAAACATTTCGACTTACACACACAAATAAAGATAAAGAAATTAGTGCCAAACCTACATTTTTTCATAAAAAACTTCTAGAGATTTACTCCTTCGAAATCGAAAAATATGCACCCTGGTGAAGACAAAAATAAATGGCCGAAAGCTTGGTCGCTGAAAAAGCACTTCTGTTTTCTTAGCAATGCGCAAGCTGAACGTAAAACACAAACAACAAATATAAAAATCTTATTCCAAATAGCCTTTAGCAGTGATTCACAATTTTATGTAAAAATAAAATCCTCTTCTGTCTTCTTGTGGAAACTTCAACCGTTTCACAAGCAGACACAAATCCCTTCTGCTTTCCCTGCAAACACGAATTCCTTTCTTCAAGTCTTCCCTAGATTAATAATTTGCCCTTACAATTATTGCCTTAAGTATCCACTTCTCCTTCCAACACCTTTCCAATGAAGTGTGCTCATGAGTTTTTTTGTGGGGAGCCAATATATTTACCGCCATGGGTTTCTTAGGACCCTACATTTGCCAACATTCCAGTTCCGTTAAAGGACAATTACTACGTTCTTCTAACCCATGCTACCAAATGCTTATTATTTTACATTTTTTATAGCCCTACAGTGGGCGTTTTACGGTGCTGAAACATATCTAGAAGGTGATTTAATTCCTGCCAAAACATGTCGATTTAGCATACATTTCGCCAAGTGCAAGCGTCAAATGCACTAAAATTAGTTCATTTTTGACTCACAGTGTTGTTTCTTTGCAGGTGAAATAACTGCAGCTAGCAATGACCAGCAACTGGCGGCGGTCAATTCAGAAAAGCGTCCAAGGCAAAGAAGAACTGGCCTAGACAATAGCAACAAACCTCTCCCTAGTAACATGTGGGACAGCGCTGATAGCATTGAAATCAGCTCCATTTCCACCATCACGGGGTCCAGAAATAACAGCAGGCCGAGTATTGGACAGGAAAGTGTTCAATTACGGTACGATTTTGTGCGCGTTTTGTCTAGCTAAAGAACTACATTTGGGTTTGGTTGCAGGGAAACCAGGCAAGATTATCGCGATAATGCGGTGAGAAATCACTTCAGACACGCTCAAAATTGGGAGGCGCTGCCTCGTCGAAGACATACCACGCCTCAGGAGGATGGCACTCTGTCCGCTCTACGGGACATTGCGACTGCTGCCAATCCGGATAATCCAGAGATCATCATGTTGGGCACTCGGGAAGGTGGTAGTGGCTCTCCTACGAGGACACAGTTGAGGTACGGGTGTTATTTTATCGTCTCATACTTGCGCTATTTTATAGCTTATAAGCCTTCTACTTGCTTGTTATGACAACAGTATAAAGCCTTTATCGCTTTGAAGCCCATGCGTGCAATGCCCATACGTTTCTTAACAAAGAATACAAACAAACTCCTGTTGTTTGTGCTGGTATCATAGTGGTTTCAGAAAATCTTATTTATTGATTCCTTCTAAAATGCTGCTGGGATTTTTTGAATTTTCTCTACGACAAAACCTTGATTTACGTTTGGAAAATACCCTTGGCGACAGCTTATCATAGGCAAGATTGTTCAGGTTTTGGTTTTTCAGTATAACTTTGCGGTTTTTGCCATAATCAAGTGCGACTTTTGTATATTATGCATGATGATAATTGATAAATATAATGATTATATTATTATGCACTATCGGCGGTTTTTTACCGACAAATCCAAACCTACAGATTTAAGTTGTATGAATTTTTCGCTCTTTGACTGTTATATGGCTTTACTTACTATACAATTATCCTGCTATTTACAATCTTTAGTCAATCAGTTAAGCGAGGAAGCAACGCTTCTTAAAACACTAATAATAGTTTCTCCGCCTAATTTAATCAAAAACTAATCTTAAAAAATTTGCAGGTTTATTAAAGTGAGCAGCCAGGAGAATCGAGTGCGGACTAAAAGCTACTACAAAGTGAAATTGTTGCCGTGGCGCTTGACCATGGACCGTCTCGGCCTTTTGGCCATGCTGGATCGGAACTTGACCATGCTAGAAACGTGTTTATCTGTGATTTTAGGCGTACTGGTGTCCGTTCTAGGCGCTGCACTTTTGCATTTAGAATTTTATAAAGACGCTTTGGCGTTTGTTTTTTGCATGGTAATCGCTAGCGCGCAATATTCCTTGCTGAAGAGCGTGCAGCCGGATGCTGCATCGCCCACCCACGGATTTAACAGGGTTATTGCCTATTCCAGGCCCGTATACTTTTGCCTATTTTCTTCTCTAGTCATTGTTTTGCACTTCAGTGTTACCAGCCCTGATCAAACGTACCTGCTGGCGGCCAGGGACTTTCTGGCCGTCTACATCCTGTTTTTCCCGTTACTATTTTCGTTCGGCTTATTTCCGCAAATCAACACCTTTGTAATGTATTTCCTCGAACAAGTCGATATACATGTGTTTGGCGGCAATGCCATGTGCAACCTTGTTGGTTCGTTCTACTGCATATTCCGCTCACTGTTGGCCATCGTAGTGCTCCACGGATTTGCTTATGGCGGATTGAGCGAACAGAAAAGCTCGCAACATATGCTGTTCTCTATATTTTTGGCTTGCTTGGTCAGCGTCTGTTACCACTTGAGCCGAGAGACTTCGGATCCCGTCAACATCTTCAATCTGGTGAAAAAACATTTGTGGCTGCCGCAACTGCAGCAGGATCAGCCAAACACCAACAAGCCAGATAATATTGAGGCGCCCCAAGCGGAAGAAGCTAGCAAAGGTATTTACTGTATTCTTTAATCCAAGACCTTTCATCTTGATATTTGAGTACGGTTTCTTTTCAGATAAAACCACGACGTTCCGTAAGGATGATCATGTTGATCCTCTACCGCAAAAACTGCAGGACACTGTTAATGCTCGTTTGAAAAACGATCTAATCCTCTGCTTACTCATAGGTAAGGAACTAAATTAGCGTCTAAAGGAGTGTTTCAATATTTTCAAACAGTTGATGTTATTTAATCCACCGCGCGTTATTGTTCGGATTTTCTGAAGCAAAGTCAAGCCACAGAGCGTTTGCCCTTCCGAAACTTTAAAAATTCTGCATACCGATGTTAGATCCTTCAATGGTACCCAATTCGAACGACAAATAAAACTAAGCATCACTTATTCAGTGCTCTCACCCGCACTGTGATATTTCAACCAGTTGCACCGGAAAAGATGCTGTAAAAATGAAAAAGCGCCCCAAAACACAACAGCTTTGTAGTTACAGTCCAAGTTGAACCTTTTGGAGTTTGAAACCATTTTCTTTATGGTGGACATTTTGAAAATGTGAGGTGAGGAAGGGCAGTCCTTTGAATGTGCAAAGTGTGTTTGTCCAATTAAATCAGCTTGAGATAGGAATTTGGAAATTACCGGGAAACTATCACTGTTTCAGTTACCTGGCTGAAATACAGTAACTGCATTAAGTTATCTGATGATTTGCAGGTATAGGAGTATTTTCTCTTCACGCTAGTACAGTTTTCCTGGTTCTTCAGCCCGAGCTCTGTCCCGTATTGTGGTCGATAGCAGCTGGAACAGGTCTAGTGCTGCATTATGTTGTTCCTCAGCTTCGCAAGCAGCTGCCATGGAGTTGCATTGCTAGGCCGATGCTTCGCTGCCATGAGTACGCGCAATATCAAATCAGAGGACCGGCGAGAATTATGTGGTATGAAACTGTGAGTATTAGTGAAGCTGAAAATGCAACTTAGTAAAAATAGCTATTTTTATTTTATCCAGGCTTATGTGTACTTGTGTTTTTTCGAAAAAAACATCCTGTACCCCTTGATATGCGTGTCGGTTTTAACGGCAGATTCCCCAGAAATCGTTGATAAGTACGGGGTGGTTTTAGGTGAGTGTCTGAATTTGTCGATGTGGCGCAGTAGGGCAAATAATCATTATTTTCCAGGTTCCTTTATTGTGGTGGTATGCGGCATGAAGTTCCTACGAAATGCGTATTCTAATCCAAATTGCCAGTACTTAATTGTCATATTCACCACTTTGTCGTACAAGTACGACTTTCGCACTCTGAACCTGACTTTCCTCACTGCGTATTTCTTCGTTAGCATTGCTTTCTATAAACTTGATGAGTTGCTGCTGAAGGTAAGTACATTGACGTCCTGCAAGGTTAATTGGAGATTTATTCAAATATTTCTTTGCAGATTAAGTTTGTAATCACCTACATCGCTCCATGGCAAATCACCTGGGGATCGGCTTTCCATGCTTTCGCTCAACCGTTCTCCGTTCCTCATTCCATGATGCTTTTTTCGCAGGCGGTTATTTCCGCGCTCTTTTCTACCCCATTGAATCCGTTCTTAGGTAGCGCCATTTTCCTCACCTCCTATGTGAGGCCGGTGAAATTTTGGGAACGCGACTACAATACTCGCAGGGTGGATCATAGGTAATACATCCGCAGGCTTCGCTTGTGAAGTTTGTATAATCGACTTTTCGGGTTTCAGTAACACTCCACTGTCTTCCCACCTGGATCGGAATTTAGGGGCCGATGACAATAACTTGAATTCCATTTTCTATGAGCATTTGACCAGGTCTTTGCAGCATTCGCTTTGTGGCGATTTAGCGATGGGCAGGTAAAGGATTTGAGTGAATATTTCGAGCAAACTTTTTGTGTGAAGTAGCAACTCGATTAAGGACAAGAAAATGCTGTGGAAAATCGCCCAAGCTTGTCGAATAATGGCGTCATCTGCAAAACATTATTCCACCAAAAAATATAATTGGTATTTTCATTTGGTTGTTGCAGATGGGGAATAGTCAACCAGGGAGATGTTTTCGTCATGGCATCCGACTACTTAAATTGCTTGGTTCATATCATTGAAATGGGCAATGGCTTGGTTACGTTTCAAATGAGAGGTTTAGAGTTTCGCGGCACCTACTGCCAACAACGGGAAGTTGAAGCTATTACTGAAGGAGTGGAGGAAAACGATGGTGAGCACTGCTTTTCCCTGCTCACTTATAAAACTTTTAAAGCATTATTCGATTAATCCAAAAGTCCAGTATAAGCTTAGGGTGAAACTGAAGGTGCAAGCCAAAAAGCGTCAAAATTAAACAATTTCAAACACTTATTTTGCCACAACTTTGCTTAATTGGTGTCTTATATTGCAGGGTTTTTGTGTTTTGACACCGGACACCTTCCAAACATGTTGAGCGTTAATGCGGCTTTCAACCAGCGCTGGCTGGCTTGGGAAGTAACTGCATCCAAATACATCCTCGAAGGATACAGCATATCAGACAATAGCGTCTTATCTATGCTGCAAGTGTTCGAATTTCGGAAGATTTTAGTATCTTATTATGTTAAGGTAAACGGCTCCGACCGCCGATTATCTGGGATAAAAACAGCGCGCTTCATTTTTAGAGCATCATCTTTTATACTACACGGTCTCCGAAGTTAGACGAATGGCTCAACTCCGACGTGATCAATAAAGCGCTGCGGACAATATGGAAATTGGATTTCGTGGATTTGGACCCAATTTTCAATTATAACATCGACGAGGACTACGATCCGTACGCTAATGGGATGACTAAAGGAGCGTTTTTGCACACTCATGGTAAGAACTGTGAACTATTATATATAGTTCTTTACTCTGTAATCGAGAAATAATTTCTGTAATTTGCTAAAAGCACGTAAACATGTAACTAAAAATCTCAAATCCTGGGGAAGCAGTAAAGAAAATAATTAAAAAGTCTAGACGCTTTAACCTCCTGTCTATTGACTTTATTAACATTAAAATGTTTAAATTGTGATTATCTAAATTAATCTTAAATCTTGTAGGTGATTGGCTTTACTACTGTCTGAATAGACGCGGTGACGTATTAAAGAAGCAGAGAGTCATCTTGTTATGCTTTGCACTCAGTTTGTTGGGGCGTCGCACATTAGGAGCGGCATCACAAAATACGGTTTCCAGTGTGGAGTTTTTTCTTTACGGACTACATGCGTTGTTTAAAGGTGAGTTGATCAGCAATGTGCACAATTGCTGGGTTTACAAGTAGATTTGCAGGTGACTTTCGTATTACGTGCGCGAGAGATGAATGGGTATTCACGGACATAGATTTGCTGAAGACGGTAGTGGCGCCGGCTGTTCGCATGTCGTTAAAATTGCATCAAGATCATTTCATGACTCCCGACGAATATGAAGTTCTGCCCGCTTTGTATGATGCGATTTGCAAACACGAACAGGAATGGGTCATCAGCCATGAAGGGGATCCGGCTTGGAGAAATGCTGTCCTAAGCGGAACTCCCAGTCTGTTAGCACTAAGGTGAAAACTCGTAGGTTGAGAGAGAACCGTGTTTTTAATCCTTCTGTATAGACATGTTTTCGATGAGGGAAGCGACGAATACAAAATCATCATGCTGAACAAAAGGCATTTGAGCTTTCGAGTGATCAAAATCAACAAGGAGTGCGTCCGCGGCTTATGGGCCGGCCAGCAGCAGGAATTGGTTTATTTACGAAACAGAAATCCCGAAAGAGGTCTGTAGTTGTCTACAAACACTTTTGCTAAAACTGTAATTTTCTTAATTGTTTTAGGAAGCATCCAAAACGCCAAACAAGCCCTAAGGAACATCATCAATTCATCCTGCGATCAGCCAATCGGTTACCCAATCTATGTGTCACCTTTAACGACCAGCTACGCTGACACGAATGAACAGTATTCGTCACTAGTGGGCGGTTCAGTCAGTTTGAAGATAATTAAAAACTATATTTTTGATTTATTCAGACGGTAAGCAAAGCGAGCGAGAACGAAAGGTTCAAGTAAAGTCACTGTTTTGGATTGCAGGATACGTAAAAGGTGCGGTGAGGGCTGTTCGAGCGGCGCATCCACACGAGAAGAAGTTAGTATGGGCCACGAAGGTGTTTATGCGATGACTCCGATGGCGTTTCCAGGCGTCCCGAGACGATCCACTGACAGTTTCAGGTCGGCAGGAAGTATGGGAAGAGGCTCAAGCCTGAGCAGAACATCATTAGGTGAGGACTTGAGCACTAGATCACGATAGATGTTTTAGCTTTGTTTGCGCTGGATTTTTTGTTCACTGCATGCGTCTTTTCTTCAGACTTTTCATAATAATAACGTGAACTTGAAAATTCGAACAAAGCTTTTTACAAAAATCAATAGTTTCTTTCATATTTCCATTTTACCATTATTTTCTTCAATATTTTCAGTTCTAATGGTGTATTCTATGTACACTCAGTAGTTGACGGTTTTTAGACTTTTTTTGTGTGTTTTTAAGTCGCAAGTTTAACACTCAAGTTTTTAAACTTAAGTGTTATTTATTATAATTGGACTTTTAACTTTGTTATTCTGAAAGATGGATTGGTAATTTATATTTCAGATTGAAGGAAATATTCTGAATTGTTTTACCGATAAACAAAATACAATAGAAAGTCTTCGAGAAATGAGCACCTGGAGAAAGTTCTAGTTTTTGCATTGTATGTTTCTAAATAATAACTTTTCTAAATAAATAACTAATAAGTTATGCGGATTTAACGTAAATTCTGATGAGATTCGATKTAATTAACCTTATCCTACTTCATACTGCTTCCGCTTTAGAACMATTTAGAAATCGACCATTTTARCTGCAACTCTTCCAACTGAGCAGAAAGTGGATTTTTAATTGTTTTCRGCGGGGAASAGCTGAACTGATTACGATAAATTTGCTCAGAATWTTTGTAGAATYTGTACCTGTTTTAATGTACAGARTKTTAGTAAAAATCTGTATAATTGTGATCTTGAACGCCTATCTGAAAGACCCTATTTTATATGATTATTATTCCTTAAAAAMATTAGATAATTTCCTACAATCTGGCAAAAAGTTTCTGTTAAATTTGCTTTTTATTAATGAAGGCGTKAATGTCCGCAAATTAAATAAAASKGATTTTTTTARCGGCTTAAGCGATCAGATCATTCTTGAAACATCCTGCCAAAGGCAGTAAATTTTTCCTCAAAATCTTTAATTTTATTGTTGATTTTACAGGCGGAAATCGAGGTAGTTTAGTTTCGGTTGGGAAGCCAACCAGTTCAACGCTTGTGAGCCTGACGGGGCTATTCAAGGAGAAAGAAGAGCGTGGAGGATCAAGTGAAGGGCAAACAGGGCAAAGTCGCACAGGAAACGAAGAAAAACTGGGAGACTGTCGGGAAACCTCATCAGAGATAGCTGATACTGAGTTTGTAGGATCGCGAGTCAAGGTGAACATCCAGGATAGTGAATATGTAAATACCAATGGGCGCTTGTTTTCAGATTATGGATCCGAACCTAGTATACGACTGCATAAACTTAGGTAGGCGAATCGATGTGTCTTGGCCGACTGAATATATGCGATGCCGAGGCGGACGATCCTACTGGAAAGACTGGCTGCCAGAAGCAGGAATGACCGGCCCAGTTGTCCATAAATGGATTCCTTGCCATAGGGACTCGAACAAGCGATCTCATGTAGATAGAACGATTCTGCTGGTGCAAATCGACGATAAATTCGTTCCTATAGCGGAAAGCGGCGTTCAAGACTTGGGTCCAGAAGTATAGCATCAGGAGAATTTAGGTAAGATTGTAAAGCCCATTAGTCTGGCAGGTTATTTACTTTGGAAGCAGGTTTTTTTTTATTGGCCGCTTACGATGAGACTGGAAGGAAAACGTGTCAGGTGCTGGACATTATCGAACCTAGTCCATTTTTATCAGACGATATGGTCTGAGCTACTGCTCAAAAAGACGATCAGTCGAGTCCAACATTACATTCCTCCAAGAACCACTTGGCATGCGGAGAGCGTCAATAGTTTCTGTACAACACGACGAATATGTGATAGTAAATATTTATTTACGAACCATAGTCAGATAATTGGAGTTCCCTTGATTTTTTAAAATTCCAAACTGTATATATCGGAGCGATATGTTTAAATGTATAGTTAGTTTGTACAGTTATAAAAGACATGACGCGTCCAAAGAGTTTAAAAAGTTGTTGAATTTTACATTTAGTCACGTTTTCTTAGCTAGCTGTACATGCATTAGGGCTTCTTACAGGAATTTTATATTATTGAGGAGCTAAACCAGTGGTTTACATTTTTCATTCAATTGGTACAATCAAAATTAGCTTCTCAGTTGTGGGTTTTGTATTTTATTCAGGTGTGTTTTTGTCTTCAACTTTAAACCCATTGTGGCCTAACGTTCACTGTAAAATTTAACGCATCTATTTGTTGAAGGTTGTTGACTAAAACACATCTTGCCTAGCTTAATTGGAGTCTAAAAGGGGAAGAACTGGTTTATACTATGCGAAGTTTCAGACAAGCCACTAAAACTAACAAAACATTTGTAGTAGAAGTAGCAAATTCGTTTAATCAAAACGTGGTCTCGAGAGTTTTATCACTTAAATGTTACGAAGTTGCCTTAACAGAAATAGACTGATTTTTTGTATGATTTTGTATAGCTTTTGTTATTAGATCGTACGTAACGTTTTGTAAACTCCGTCAAGCTCAATGTAAATGAGTTCCAAGCTTGATGTGGTCTGCAATCAATCGTGAAATAATTTCAATATATTACTACCTTTACATTCAGTGATATCGAATTTATGAATATACATTTAAATTATGCACCTGTTGTATAGTTCACTAATAATTATTCGTAGATTAGTTATATTTATCTTATTTCAACTGGTGGTCCGTCGGGATACCTCAAAGAGATTGTTTGTTCAAGGATTCCTCTAAACTGTTTTAATGTTTGTTTTCAAATTATTTGTTGTGTTTGTGACTGCACAGAACTTATTTAGGATTATTCTTCTGTGATTTTAGTTAATTTTTCTGGGCGGAGTTTTTACTAGTGAAATAGAGTTATTCAAGCATTGATTATGTTTTTTTGCTGACGGCAAATTGAATGTTTCTTGGACATTTTTGTTGAAACTGTGCCAACTAGCAACGAAAACCTTTCGGGATATACTGGAATTCTTTTATTTACTAGATCAATTTATTTACATCTTTACATAACATAAGTTATATTTATAAATCTAAAAGTACGATCACACGAATGCAAATTTTACACTAATAGATATGGCACATAAACATCTTGATAACGCACAATTCTCGCAATATTTTTTCCGATGATTAACAACTGAGATGAGTTAAATAAAAATCGTTGTCTTTCGCATCGAGAGCTCGATGGAAAATTGCTGTCTATACAAATAGTGAATTATTAAAATTATCTAACACAACCACAGGATGGGAAAACCTTTTGGCCACTCTTGGAAATAATAATGAATCCCTAACTGATTGCTTGTCTGTCCACAGATTACTAATTCCATAGAGAAATTCTTTGGTATAAGTTGTGCCTATAACGTATGACTAGAATGGTGTGCAAACGGTCTACTTGTCGACACTTGTGTCAAGTAGGTATGATACAAATTCAACTTGATGCCGCCAATCCGTCCAGTAAGAGTAACACACATTTTATTTTTTGCTCCAAAATTCCTCCACGTAAATATGCAGTAAATGTACAGTCTAGTCTACAATGGAGAAAATGTCTATTATGTTTGATACTGCAACATGGGTGCAGCTAAATTGGGATGGTGGCTGGAGTTCATCCTCAGGGCCGACAGGCTTTTGTTATACCACTCGTCCTCTGCAGACATACCTAGGACATCAGGAAGAAAAAAGAAATTGTTAGAAACTGGATTAAAATTATCACTAAATTTAAATGAAGATTCAAATTCCTCTAAAATTAATTCTGCAGATTAATCTTATTCTTCAACAATAGAGATTTATTTGGCATGGAATTAAGTGCTTCAAGACCAGACGAGTTTGAAACCGTCGTTGTTATTGTCTTCGGTAGCGCTTTTTCTATTGCAATTAACATTTCAAACTTCTTCAGACATTTTTTGAGAAGTTTCGTGCGTTTCTCGCAAGACTCAAAAATCAATTCTCTTACTCAGATTGTTGAAATAAAGTTAACTTTTTCCGAAGAACTTGGAATGCAAACGTGCTGAAGTGCTTATAGTGCGTATAAGATATCTGGAAAACCTGCTAAATTAACGTTGAAAATTAGGTAAAAGAATCTAAAGCATAGAATAGAAAATCTATATTTTAACTCGGATGTTTTGAAAAAATAGACTTTTGTTTTCTTAGCCAGAAAACTTTTTATTTCGAAAAATGACTTAATCTTGAATAAAGAACAAACACTGTGCGCAAAAAAATTAGGGCAAAATCTTGATTTTGTCCGTTTCACTTTGCATTTGTATAATAAATTTCCGGTTGATGCCGTGGAATTTCGCTAAATTATTCGCAGGAAATTGGCTAGTTTCGTCCAAGAAATAGCGAAATTAGAGCCCGCCTCTCAAGACGTCTCATTTCCGGCACATCGAGATTCTCGCCTTCTTGTCATCACCACTTAGACTATTTCAATTAAGCCTTCACATAAAAAATATCCTCACTTTGGAAGGTGAGATTTTGAGTGAGGCGTTAAATACTTACTCATTGCATCCTGCCTCATTCCGGCCACTGAGGACATATTTGTCGTGTGGCTCATTGAGAACGATTGAGCCATTCCTGGATAGGAACTGGTAGTCATCTGGAAAAAAACACAAAATTGCATAAATGCATTTATTGCAAGGATTTTTAGGAAGGTTATAGGTGTAGTAAAGCCGTGTGTCCCAAATCGATATTTGGTCCATAGTAAAAAAATTATCAATCCAGAAATAAGTATATCAACTTGAAATGCCAACAAAACCATGGTAGTTCGGGAGCTTGAAAAAAATGTTTTTATCAATACCGACTTATACACATACTTTCATTGCTATTTTAAAGCCTCAAAAGATAAAAGTGATTCAAAATTTAAATTAGTATAAAAAAGAACTGCAGGCTGACCATGAAGAAGTTCACAAACTCACAGTTGAGCCTGACCAGAGCTTCCATGCTGAGCATTGCAGCATTTTCATGTTTTTTTCAAGTTCAAGTTGTTTTCAAGTTTCAATTTCAAGTTTTTCACCTCCAAACTGGAGCGATTAAACACTTAAAATTTCGCCCAGTTTTGACAACAATGCGGCTATGCAAGTGTCCCAAATTTGGATCTAAACTAACTGCAGAGTGATGTTGCACGAATTAGCAAACTGTCGGTCTTTTTAGGCCAATTTAGCAATTTTCAAAAATGTCTCACCTCCAAACTGAAGCGACTGAACACTTGAAATTTCGTCCAGTTGTAACCACGATGCGGATCTGTAAGTGTTCCAAATTTCGATCTAAACGAACTGCAGAACGATTTTGCGGAAATTAACCAAACTATGGTCGAGCCTGACCAGAACTTTCACGTTGAGTCATTTTCAAAAACTTTTCGCGTTTAAACTCGAACAAGTAGATCCTTGAAATTTTGCACAGTTTTGAACAAGCTTAGGGGCCAGACTTGTGGCAAATTTTAATCAAAAACAACCTGCAGGCTGATTTTTGCGCAAAAGGCAAACTTTTAGTTGAGCCTGACAAAAACTTTATTGCTGAGCCATTTTGAAAAATTTTTGAAGTCCAACCTGAGGCAGACAGCAAATTTGTCGTTAGACACGTTTATCTAAAACACTTCGCTCTATCAGACTGATAATCTTAAGTACTATCGGAGTGTAGACTTATTTTTAAACAATCTCAAACTTTCAGGTGAGACTTGCCAAACCGGCTTTCAACACACTTTCGAAAATTTCTAACTTACAACCGGGAATCGCCATATACTTGTTTTTCCGCCATTTAAAAGCAGATTGTTCGCTGTTCAAAGCAATCGACTTCAAGCAAATCGTAGTTTACACTGAATTTGCAGAAAGTCACAAAGTTCAAATTTTTGGATGTAGAAACCAGATTCATTTGCTCCCTGTACTGAATTGTTTGATGTCGTTCACCTGTTATCAGAACGGAATTTATTACAAGCTACCTTTTAAATAAGATCTACGTTTGTACCTAGAGAATAGAAGATTTATCTCTGAATAGTGAGGTCAGAATAGTAAAGTGAGTAGAAAAGCTACGTTTAAATGCTTATAACCACTTACTGAGGAAACATTAAAAAAAGTGTTTTTGTCAATTTTTTAAACTTTTATTGCAAACTTTAACACTGCTGTAAAACATTCCTCATTTTTCGAATCTCATTTTCATGAAATATTGTGTATTTTGAGGTTGAAGAGACGACCGACAGTCAGAGTCATTTGCTTACTTGCTATTGCTTCTTTCTGAGGAAAATCATGTAAAATGTACTAGAACTGAAAAAATCAATTGCTTCGAAATAATAGGAAAAAAAGTGATTTGCTTGCTTGCTTCTTTCTCAGGAAAATCGAGTTTTATCATTGATTCAAATTAAAATTGAAAATTTCTTCTACCAGACTCAACTGGAAAAAGCTTTGTAAAATACACTAGTCACTTAAAATTGTCTACTGTTCTCAACAGGGTTCATGGCTAGAAATAAGGCAAATTTCACTTTACAACGAGCGGCAGGCGATGTTCGAGCAACAGACATTCAGTTGAGCCTGACAAACACTTTTTTGCTGGGTCATTTTCAAAAATTCGTCACGTACAAGCAGGACCAACTAGCCACTTGAAATTTTGTACAGTTCTCAACAGGGTCAGTGGCTAGAAATGAGGCAAATTTCCATCTATTCCAGCCTCAGGTTTTTGCCAGCAAAGACAAAGTTTCACTTTGCCTGACAAAAGCCGTATTAAACAACATTGTCCAATTTGCGTTAGGCAAATTTGTCCTTAGACGCAATTATCAAACACATTTCACTCTATAAGACTGCTAAGCTAAAGTACTATCCAAATGTAGTTTGATTTTTTTAAATGTAAAACTTTCAACCGAGACTGGCCAAAGTTTGCAATTCAACACACTTCCAAAAATTCCCCACTTCTAACTCAGAGTTGCGAGACACTTATTTTTGAGGCATTTAATAGCGGATGATTCTTTGTTTAAACCGAGTAACTTTCAAGCAAATCGCAGTTGAGGATGATTTTTCAGAAAGTTGCAAACTGAACCAGTGAAAGCCTTTTATTGACTTTTATATTTAGAAAAATGCTGCTAAAATAAAATGTAAATATAAAAAACAATACACAACACTCGATTATTAAAACGAGTAAATTATGTAACTGCATCTATACAATATTCTTTAGAGCTTAAAACTCCTATAATATGGGATTTTTAGAAAACAATCACATGTAATTTGTTGTCGTTCACTTTGTTTGAGTAGAATTTGATCTTTGTATGGGTAACTTCTACATATTTAAAGATAGAGAATCCGTTAAATGGGCAAAATTGTGCAGAATTCGATCGCCTATTTATTACCGTTTTCAAAATTTAGGTACCCGACTTGGTTCCTAAAATATCCTGAAAAGGCAAGAAATTAACACTTTTTGAATTATCATATAATTCGTAAACTGCTTAAATTAGAAAAAAAGTGAAAATTGTCTTTGGTAGAACTTTTTGCGTTGAATTCAATGAACTAGCACTCGTTATCATAGTCAACTTGATTTACGAGATTAAAAACAAACTTATGTTTTTTTAAATGGTAATCATAGTTGGCTGTGGGCCTTTTAAAATCCTTATCTTTTTCTGAATTTAACGATATAACTGCTTGTATGTTTTTCTCCTTTTGTTGCCGTAAAACTTCAAAAGAAGATAAAAAATGTGTAGTAGGCTATGGAAACATGAACTATATTATCACACAAAGCACAAAGCAAAAATGAAATAATTAACAGACACAATCATGTTTACTGGGCTAATGAAAATCATCATCTAATTGAAAATAGGCAAGATCAACGTGTTTTTTTGTGAATGTCTGGTGACGCATGTTTAGTGATAAAATTATTGGTCCATTCTTTTATAATCGCAATTTAAATATGGAAAGATATTTACACTTTTTACCAAATGAACTTGAAGACATGTTGAATAGTTTTCCGTTAGCATCGTATCGAAAATTGGCATATTTTCAACATGATAGTGTACCTTCACACAACTCACGAGTTGAATGTGAAGATGCCAAAAAATGCCTGGACGTAAACGGAAGTCAATTTGAACATTTCATTCAAACGATTCATTATTGTTTTGTGGTTTGTGTGATAATATAGATCTTGTTTTCATAGCCTACTACACATTTTTTTATCTTCTTTTGAAGTTTTACGGCAACAAAAGGAGAAAAACATACAAACAGTTACATCGTTAAATTCAGAAAAAGATAAGGATTTTAAAAGGCCCACTGCCAACTATGATTACCATTTAAAAAACATAAGTTTATTTTTTATCTCGCTAATCAAGTTGACTATGATAACGAGTGCTAGTTTATTGGATTCAACGCAAAAAGTTGTATTAAGAGCAGTTTAAACTTTTTTCTAAGTTAAGCAGTTCACGTAATAAGTGATAATTAAAAAAGTGTTGAATTCTTATCTTTTCAGGATAGGGTACCTAAATTTTGAAGACGGTAATGAATAGACATTCGAATTCTGCTCAATTTTGCCCATTTAACGGATTCTCTATCTTTAAAAATGTACAAGTTACCCATACAAAGATTCAGAAAATGGCCACCCTGTATATAAAATAGAAGGTTAATTTTCGAATAGTAAACTAAGTAGAAAAGTTACATTTGAAATCTTGTTGACGAGCAACTGAAGAAACCTTTAAAATGTTTCGCATTTTTAAGACCCAAAATCAGAGTAATTTGCTTTCTGGATGTTGCTTCTTTCTGAGCAAAAATCAAGATATATTATTGATTCAGTGTAAAATTTTCACAATTATTTACCAGAACCAACTGGAAAATCATTTTAAAAAATCTATACATCCTAGAAAAACGCATAATGTATTTCTGAAAGTCGTTACTACATATTATCGATTGTATGGATTTCCAACCACCAACAGCAGTTTCAAGTTTACACTCACAAGCATCTGAATGACCATCATCCGACGGGATTAATAAGAGGAAAGCATGATCAGTTTGGGTCGAGATTTGTGCCATCAACTTTCTGGCAAATGCATGCAAATTGCAATTAGCCAGATCTTCAGGTAAATTAATTAAGCAAATTGACTGAGGTCAAGCAGGTCGGCAGGCAATTAGTTTAGAGCGACCGCGTTTCCTGCGACGCTGGCCGTCGGAATGCGGCAAAGGCGTCGGCCGCCCGCGACGCCCCACGACGCCGACCGTCATCCGACGGCAAAGGAATGCAAATCGTCTTCGAACGGACGATTATTTTGGCAATTAAATTCAGTAGAGGAGTGTTTCCCAAATAGTAGTCCGCGGACCCACGGTTGTTTGCGGTATGATTCTTGGGGGTCCGCAACCCATTGCAAAAAATAAACAAAAATAGGCGACCAGGTAAATAGCCAAAAATACATTCCAAATAAGGTTTTCTGAAATTTTAAGAATTAAGGTTTGATCTGGCAACACACCAGTGCTAACACATTAGAGGTGTGATTAACGGTTATTTTTCTGTTACGGGTTACAACGTTCCAGTTTTACCTTGGTAATAGGTTCCAAAATGCGGTTCCAAAAGGAACATGTTCCTTTTTAAATTTTTCTTTAAAAATGCTAAATGATGATGATAGTAGAAATAGTGATGATA